TATTTTCAGACGAGGTTGGTAAACAGTTAATACATGTTCTAAATGTCTACATTAGTTTTTACAAAAGCATATGATGATCACCTTTCTTAATTTATGTATTGATTACCTAATTGCTTTTAATTGGACAAGAGTATTAACTTTTTCTTTGACCTAGCATCCCTGTTATGTCTTTGAATTTGAGAGCTTTGGAAGCGCTTACTGCTTATTTATATCACGGTCGTGCTCCTATTGTATGCATAAACATATATGTCTGTTGAAACTTTGTTCCTAAGTTTGTTCCAAAACCTATCCGTAATAACACATGCTTAAATCGATAAATTCTTTTGCTTATTCTGTCAAGTACTCTTTACCTCTCTATCTTTCACTTTCTTCTCAACTTGTAAATCTTTTTCAAGGACTCAGTTTGCTTTGACTATTTGGAGATGGAAGTGAATTGTCTGATATTTCTTGACCTGGATTGCTTTAGGAAATAAGTTTCTGAGATATTCTTGAAGCACTGATTTGAGTTATTATTTTGACATTTTCTCTTATGTTTCACTGTTATAGTTTCTTCCAGCTCTTCATCCTCTGAGTGGTCACTTCAGAGCAGCATTGCAAAGAGAAGGTGATCTTTCTGGTCAAATTCCTGCTGCAGTCATTGCCGTCTTTGATGCAACCCTTTTTAATATGTGTAAATCCATTGATCCCAAGGTGGAGTCAAATCCTTTCTTGGCTATATTGTATGTTATGAGGGCTGCTGGTAAATTATCTGGACTTCTTGCTACTTCTGAGGAAGAGCTCTGGATTAGGAGGAAGAATCCATACACTCCTGAATTAATAGAGTCATCATCTGTTGAGCAATCGGACTCCAAAGAAATATTTCCGATTGAAGCCATAAATGTACCATGTTCATTAGAGAAGAGTGTTGAAAGAGTAATCCTTAATCTCTCATCTTCTGAATATTTCCTGGATGTTATAGCAAAACAACTTGGGTTATTGAACGCTGCTGACATTCTGATCTCAAGGTATGTTAAAAGGATAATGTGGAAAAACTGGGAGGACAGTTTGTTGACTCTGTAACCATCTGTGCTTAACTTGCGATACAAATTCTTTGACAGGCCTATAGGTAAAGCTTCCTCTGAGACAAGACTGTACTTTGCTGCTCCTAAGAAATCTCTGTTGGATATCTCTTCAGATCTTCTAAATGCCAAAGGAGCTTGTAACTCTGAAGGATCTTTCAATGCAAGAGCAAGTTACTTGTCGGGCCAAGATATATATGGTGACGCTGTTTTGGCATCCATTGGATACACATGGAGGTCCAAAGACCTTTTCTACGAAGATGTATCCCTGCAATCATATCACAGGTTTTTTCTGACTTTGCTGTACTGTTCACCTTTTAAAAACATTTTTCTTCTTTTACCTTGCTTTTGTGCCAATGGAAAAAGTGCTTCATAACCAAACTCTTCTCCCAACCTTCATATGCATATTGTTGGACCCACTGTATGTGTGATAGTTGGAAAAATACTTTGGTTCTGTAGCATCATCCCTCTCAAATAAATGAGAAGGAATAGGACTCATAAAACTCTTAGAAATTTCTGGCTTTATTAGTTATAAAAATATAATACATTTGGTTGGAAAATGATGAAATATTAATCCCTGCTAGGAAGAAAATGCTTCCAACTCTCATACTAAAGACCCGAATACTGTTTAACCTAGACCACTAGGACATATCCTTCAAAACCGCACGGTACTTACTGTTTTCCAAAATCCAAATTTGAAAAGTATATAGAAAAGAGGAACGCTCCACCTGTTTCTTTGCTGCATCATTCAGTAATAAAAGTGTACAACATTGCATAATTCAATCATACCTAAAATCTAAGTCTACACTTTACAGGATGGTCATTGGCAAGACACCAAGTGGAATTTACAAGTTGTCCAGAGAAGCAATACTTGCAGCTGAGTTACCTTTAGCATTTACTGCCAAGGCAAAATGGAAGGGTTCGATTCCAAGGGAGATACTGTGTACATTCTGCCGCCAGCACCGGCTTGAGCCCATCTTTTCTCCTCGAAACACTCTAGAAGAATCATCCGAGTCACCAATATCACACAAGAAGTTAAAGGTGACAGACTTGGCTGGGAAAGAGACACAATATGCAAATGGCTGTGTTGTTGATGCTGGTGTAAAGGAGATAGTTGAATCCGGAGGTAGCTTTAGATGTGAAGTAAAAATAATTTCGAAGTTTCAGGATTTTATTTTAGAGTGCTCACCAAAAGAGACTTTTAAGAAGCAGAGTGATGCCATTCAGAATGTTTCTTTGAAAGTTCTGTTATGGTTGAATGCATATTTTGGGGATCCAACTATGCCTTTAGAGAGACTAAATGCTTCTGCTGATGGCCACAACATTAGATTTGATTCCCAAAACTTTATTAAAACATTTATGCTGTGCCATCATATTCATACTGTTGGGCATAAAGAGACTGAAGAAGGAAAATTATCATTTTCCAACTCTGTGAATGAACTGTTTGCTCTCCCTGGAATTGAAATTCGTTCCTTAAGTATAGAAGGACCGGATTCTGGTGTTTGTCCATCTATTGGGTCCTTAGCATGTGTAAGCTATTCTACTTCTTTGGTGACTGAAGGCAAACATACGAAAGAACTTTTGGAAAGTAGTGATGACTTTGAGTTTGAGATAGCATCTGGAGCAGTGATCCCACATCTCGAGTCAGTTATTACACAAATGACTGTTGGTCAGTCGGCTTTTTTCAGTATGGATTTGCCATCTCAAGAGTTGGTTTTAGCCGCAGCTGGCGATTCTGCTAGGATGCGTTCCTTATTGTCTTCAGAAACCTGCTATTTGGAGTACACTATAACTTTGTTGGGGGTAACCGAACCACTAGAGGATAGAATGGAGCAGGCTTTTTTCAGCCCTCCACTTTCAAAACAGCGTGTGGAATATGCAGTGCAAAGCATCAAAGAATCTTGTGCAACTACTTTGGTAAATGAGTTTTTATCATCTTTTGGCTTTACACCGTTTATCAAGCTGAAATTTTTATTACACTGTTTATATGACATTAAGTTTCATGTCCTTTGTAATTGTTGCAGGTTGACTTTGGATGTGGCTCTGGTAGTTTGTTGGATTCTTTATTAAACTATCCAACTTCTCTGGAAAAAATTGCTGGTGTTGACATTTCACAAAAGAGTCTTGCTCGTGCGGCAAAGGTCTGAATCATAATTTAACCACTGATTTTTGCATTTAGAGTATATATCTGGTTATTCTATTTTTTTCCGCTATTATCTTTTAATTTAAACATTTACGGGAATAAATAATGTGACAGATATGCTGGGTCCTACATATATAGATAGTTGCTGGTGATTTTGTCACTAGAGAGCCAAAACATTTATTAGGGAATGGGTGACATCTTGCCTTGCCGTAGACCTGTGATACACTTTGTTTAGACTTTTCTAATTTATGGTTTAGAGAATTAATACTGGTTTTACTTAATTTTAAAGGATCCCTTGTTAGGATGGACCTTATCCGTGTGTTTGCTTGGTCATGGTGGGTACAAGAAATGAAATAGAATTGTTTCCTCCATTTGTATTAGTGTGCTGATTTTAGATATTTGTTCTTTGTTTGATTTTCCATAAAGTTCATTTAGTTAAACACTTGCCTTAGCCATGAACCTTAGTTTTCTGTTAATATTGCAGATACTTCATTCCAAATTAAACTCAACTTCAGATGCCATTACGTCAGCCATGAATTCAGCAATTCTTTACGATGGTTCAATTACAAATTTTGATTCCCGGTTGAGTGGATTTGATATTGGCACTTGCTTAGAGGTAATCTCTTATTTTTCTTTTAAACACATCTTAGAAAGTTCTGCCACATAAAATCTGTAAATATTCCTGTTTTCACAGATATCAAGCGTGATGTCCCCGTTGTACTGTAATTCGTTTATAATGTTGCTTACTCTGATTGGAAATCATAGGTAATAGAGCATATGGAGGAAGATCAAGCATCCGAGTTTGGCAACGTGGTGCTAAGTTTATTTCGTCCAAGGGTTCTTATTGTCTCCACTCCAAACTACGAATACAATGTGATACTCCAGAAATCCAATTTGTCAAGCCAAGAAGATGACCCGGAGGACAAAAGTCAAGCACAATGTAAATTTCGTAACCATGACCACAAGTTCGAGTGGACGAGAGAGCAGTTCAATTGCTGGGCGACTGAATTGGCTGCAAAGCACAACTACAGTGTTGAGTTCAGTGGAGTTGGGGGTTCCGGTGATACAGAACCAGGTTTTGCTTCCCAGATTGCTGTCTTCAGACAGGAACACGTAACAAAGGAAGTTGCTTTTCCAGAGGTTTCAGATCTGGAACAACCTTTCAAAGTTATATGGGAATGGAATAGCAGCGATAGGCCAAGATCTGCTCTCTGATGAACTGAGATATTCGTGCAGGATTTTCCAAACCCATGAAACAGAGCTTTTATTTTGACTTAGAACTGGATTCGGGGTATCTAGTGACAGAAAACCAGGTTTCAGACGGTGGGGATCCCTACCTCCGGGAGATGATCTTCCTATTGCAGATTTAGAACGTCTACAAAAAGTTGTATGGGAATGGATTGGTGTCAACTAGCATTAGGAGAATAGATTACCACCATAATATGTGCCATTTGATGATTTTGATTTTTATTCTGTGGTGGTGATGCTCACCACCAGCGGTGGGCAAAATCTATTTTCCTCAATAGGTCAAAAGATATCCTCCGAAAAATTAATGATATGCAGCATCATGGCACACTGGTTTATTTTCTTCTGTCTGTGGCCTTAAAAGTTTCAGAATTGTATGAGATTCTTATATAATCATATATTATGGCTGTTCAGGTGCAGAATGCATTGCTTATTTTCATCGCAAATTGTCTTTCAAGTAATTCACTGAACAGCTCCGATCCCCCTTCCTCCGGCTATGCTTGCCGAACTCCGTGAGACAGCCCTTTCTGCATCTTTACACAATTTCCTCTTGTCCGTCGGGCCAACAGAAAAAAAAAAATTCGATAAATATAGTTTACAATCATTCTCCTCCCCCTAAGACTTGGTATTGGGAAAAAAAAAAGACCAAAATTAGTACGTCGACAAAGACATGAAGCAATATATAACTGATGCTCCGACCATATCAGCCCCAGCCGGGTGCCCAAACAAAAAACTCAAGACGTTGGCTTGATATGTTTAACGCATGCATGAAGAATTCTAAATGCACATCACACTCAGGAGGAATAGAAAATTAAGAAATGACTACAATCCTTTGAACAAATTTTGGATTCAGTGGATGCACCTGTTTACATTTGGCTTTAACTGAACGCTTTAAGACTTTTCCGGTGTCCAGAATGCAAGGCCGGCCGGTCGGCCGCGCTTTCTTCTGTGTCGTTGTTCTTCATTGAAAGCCATCACTAGTTCTACCTTCTCTATAAATATCCAAGTCCATCCAACAATTCCTTCACCCCTCTCTCTCTCTCTCAATCTTTTAAATTTCTCGTTTGCAATAGTTTCACATATAATCTTATAGAAGAAGGTGAAAAATTAAGATGGCAACCCAACTTTTGGTATTAACTACTTTCCTAGCCGTCACATGTTCTCTAGTCGTTGCTTTTGAGCCTAGTCCATTGCAAGATTTTTGTGTTGCTGACGCTACTAGCACAGGTTTGTGTCGATATAGGTTAATTAGGTTAAAATCATAAACTATAATTTGCATTTGGTACTGACTTATAACTTTTGGTTTGTGAATTGGATTTGTTCATATATCACAGTTGCAAGAGTAAATGGTCTGCCTTGCTTGGACTCGAAGCTTGCAACAGCTGACCATTTCTTCTTCAGTGGACTTCACATCCCAGGCAACACCTCAAACCCTGTTGGTGGAAAAGTCACCCCTGTCAGTGTGGCTCAACTTCCGGGACTCAACACCCTCGGCATCTCGCTAGCTCGCATCGACTACGCGCCAATGGGTGTTATCCCTCCCCACACCCATCCCCGCGCCACCGAGATTCTGACGGTCTTGAAAGGCAAGCTCAATGTTGGGTTTGTGACCTCAAACCCCGAGAACAAGCTCTTCTCGAAGGTCCTTAAGAAGGGTGATGTGTTTGTGTTCCCTGTTGGACTAGTTCACTATCAGCAAAACCTGGGTTCTGGAACTGCCATCTCTCTATCTTCTTTGAGCAGCCAAAACCCTGGAGTCAACACCATTGCTAACGTTGTGTTTGGATCCAATCCTGCTATTTCTGAGGATGTTCTAGCCAAGTCTTTTCAGGTGGACAAATCCGTAATTAGCGATCTTCAAGCCAAATTTTAGATGTTTTCCATGCATCGAATTAAATTAGTTCTTGTTATTTAATATCATCATTCATCCCCAGTTTACACATACTTTTAGGGTTTTGTATGAAATTCTTTGATATCAATCTTGATTCATATCTGAGTGCCCTTATGACAACACAAGAACATTGAAAATACATGCTTTATTTAATTTTTATCATTATTGTTAACTTTTTTTTTTTAATAAAAGATATGCTATTATTAAGAATAAGGAACCATGACAAGAGTATAGCAGAATAAAAGAGAGTGACCTCTGAAAAGGCCTTGCCGGGTCTACCAACTCGGAATCAAGGAAAGATGGGGCCCCAAATCCATCAAATACTTGAATTTATTTACACCACTTTTTATCATTATATGTTTAGTAAGAAAAGGAATGTTTTCGTATGCTAATTCTAAAAACTAAAATGTTAATTAAGCAGCACATCATAGAGTGTAAGATGGTGACACTAGCGTTATTTTGAGATGGCCAAAGAATTTGTTAGAACAAAATATTGTACAAAATTAAGCCTTTGTATGTTAATATTACCAAGAAATAAACAATACATTTTGGATAAAACTTGAAAATCTCATTTGTTTTTAGTGAAGCTTAACTAAACCAAATAATATGGTTAATTATTTTTCTAAAATATTTTAATTAGCCTGTGTCATTCTGCTTCAGAACTTATAGATTGGAAAATTGCTTCACTAAAAACAAATAGTACGGTTAATTTTTTTTCAAAACTATTTTAATTAGCCTGCATACATCTGCAAATAGGTGCTGGTTTATATGTTTGATTGTTTTAGGCCCAATTGGTGTTGTTCTTTTCCAATACCACACTTACCATCTTAACAAGAACGGAAGAAAAGTGCTGAACATGGAGAAATGAAATGAACTGATTTTTCAGTTTATACAGATGAATGACAAAATATTATTTATACCACAGCATAGGAAGTAACCTATATAGACTCTGACACTTAAACCGACTTTAGAAATAGCTGATGTGTTAGCCCTATGTGGCGGTATCGGTTAATTAGCTTCTTCAGTCTTAACTGGGATATCCAGAATAATATTGAAACAACGCCTCAAAAGTATAGACTATTGTTTTTAAGATATTGCATTTTGAGATCACGTTTTGGACTCTTTCTCATCCAAAATGAAAATCAGTATCAAAATGCTTAATTCTAAAGTGAAAGACTGGATTAAAACTGAGATAAGGAAAACTGCTTGTAACTTGCAAGTGTTTAATTTTTTGGATCAGTCTGTGATTTCTTTTAAGAATCCTAGCTACAAACTACTCTCAACTGATACGTACGAAGATATGCAAGAATGAAAAGAAAGCTGTAACTTTTGGTATTTCTCCAACCTCTCGTATGATCCAATTGTCAAAAAAGCATGCAATCCCTTGAAACATTCCCTCAGAACATACGATAATTGAAAACTTTCTTTCGGTTCCTTATATGAAATCTCTCATTCTTTACGCAGATTAGGATTGGAATAGACATTCAATCTCTTTGATCATTAACAAAATATAATATCTTTTTTTTTATCATAAAAAATATATGATGTCTCTTGACCATAAAAGTGGCATGCTATATCAATATCATGCATGCTACATCCACCATCATTATTTGCACGTCACAAGACAACCTTAAATGTAAATATATCGCTGCATTAAAAAATTGTTGATTTGTTTAGTTTTATTAACTAAATTTTTGTCCATTATAGAAAGGTTTTTTTCTTTTTATATTTTATATTTTATATTTTTTGTGGCAGTAGATTGGTGCAAAATAATCAGAAACAGGATATCAAAATCACATGAGTAGCAAAAAAAAATGCAAGGCTTTTAAGACCCGACAGGAAATTCTATTGACTGAATAGGATTTTGTTAGGAACATGGATTTACATTAGCATATATATATATATATATGTTTGTATTATGGATCACCATATTGGGTTAGTCATTAATCATTATTCGGCTTTATTTGTATGTTATAGACATCTGTTATATCCAACGAAGAGGGTCAAACTTACGGAGGAGAGTACATCTGTTCTATCAAATGAGATTTTTTTTCAAGTCTACGACACAATAATGTATGTTAATTTTCATATCCTTCTTTTTAGTGACATAGAATTCGTTTGAAAGTATTTTTAAAATGATTGAAAATAATTTTGGTCAATTTTAGAAACGCTTTTAAACGAAACCTTAGTGTTGGGGAGAATCTGGCCAGTGTCTGCAAATGGACAAAGAAAAAAGGCAATGCAATACACCTGAAAAACTGGCTTTGGGTGTGAATTTAATTACCATTTACAGACCAAATTCCATTTTTTGAATAAAATATTTGGGCAGCAAAACTGATCGCACAAAACCCTAAACATATTGCAGGTCATTCCTATGGTCGTATATCACAGATATCCTTCCTTACTATCCAATACATAGGAAAAATGAACCAAACAAACATATGTTGTACCAACTAAATTTTTGTGCCATAGAAAAGTAACCGTTTTATTTGTCTTTTATTTAGCAGCAGACAGATGTGCAAAATTATCAGAAATACAAAATCAAAATCACATGAGTAGCAAATAATGCGGGCCTTTGTGACTCGATCACAAATGTATGGAATGAAAAATGAGTTTGTTACTTGTATAGTAATTGTAATGGATTAATGGATCAGAATTTCTATATATATATTTTTTGACAAACAATAAGATAATTTACATTAAACTACAGGAGGGAGATCGAATACGGGACCTCGAGTGTAAGGACAAATACACTTAATCAATTGAAATACAAGCCACTTCCATTAGGATTTGGATATGAAATAGTTGCCTATTCTACCATCTTCCAAAATAGTAGCTATTGAAATGTGGTTTCTAGTTTCAATTTGAAGACATCGCTTAAGTGCTAGTTGGTAAAGGCAATGTGTCAGCCCCTTTGCAACCAAATTCATATCACCCTCCACATAGATTATTAGTTTAGAATATTATATTTTCAAAAGAAAAAAAAAAGAGGCTTGAATTTGCTTTCAATTCATCATATAGAAGACAAAATTTCCATTCCTTAACAGTCACCCTTCTTTCACTGACTTGGTCGTCTTGGGGAGGATCTGCCCAGAGTTTGCATTTGGACAAACATATAATGCCTATATCTGAACCTTCCTTTGTTTATTTGGATCCAATACATAAGATTGGACCCCCATAATTTAGCGTAATGCATTGGCTTGATACGTTTAAAATATGCATGATCAATATTTTACTCACATCAGAAGGTATAAAAAATTAGTAAAGGACTTGGTATTTGAACTGATTTTGGATTTAACGGGTGTGCCTATGTTAAAATTTAGCTTAAGTGAAACGTTCAAGACTTATCCAGTGTCTAAATGCAAGATGCGCCGGCCGGCGGTCGGCAGCGTTTTCTTTTCGTTTAATTGCTTGTTCTTAATTCATTCATACCCTTTTCTATAAATAACCAATTTCATACTTCAATTCCCCACCTCTCTCTCAGTTCTTTCAATCTATCAATTGCAATAACTTAAATATCTCAAAGAAGAAGGTGAAAGATTAATTGAGATGGGAAACCAAATTTTGCTATTGATTACTTTCCTTGCTATGACATGTGCATTGGTCATTGCTTTTGAGCCTAGTCCACTGCAAGATTTCTGTGTTGCTGACACAACTAGCTCAGGTTCATATCGAAGTTTTTTTCAGTTTTATTTGTGCTAGGATAAGCTTTAAGTTTGCATTTAAAAATGTGTACACTTCTTAATCCTCTTAGTCCTCCGCTGACTTTAACTTTTTCTTTGTGAATTGTATGTGTGCACATATCACAGCAACGATAGTAAATGGGTTTCCTTGCTTGGACTCCAAGCTAGCAACAGCTGAGCATTTCTTCTTCAGCGGACTTCACATCCCCGGCAACACCTCAAACCCTGTTGGTGGAAAAGTCACCCCTGTCAATGTGGGTCAAATTCCAGGTCTCAACACCCTCGGCATCTCACTCGCTCGCATCGACTACGCACCATGGGGTGTTATCCCACCCCACACTCATCCCCGTGCCACTGAGATTTTAACCGTCTTAGAAGGCAGCCTCAATGTTGGCTTTGTGACATCAAACCCCAACAACAAGCTCATTTCAAAGGTCCTTAACAAGGGTGATGTGTTTGTGTTCCCTGTTGGACTAGTTCACTATCAGCAAAATGTGGGGAATGGAATTGCCATTTCACTCTCTTCTCTGAGTAGCCAAAACCCGGGAGTCAACACCATTGCTAATGCTGTGTTTGGATCCAATCCCGCAATTTCAGAAGATGTTCTGGCTAAATCTTTCCAGGTTGACAAATCAGTAATTAGTAGCATTCAAGCTAAATTTTAGATGTTTTCCATGGAAACTAGTTTCTGAAATTTCTGTGTTATTATTACAGCTCCAGTTACACTTGTGATTTGCAATTTATGAGTTAGATTTGTTAGAAGTGTGTATTAAAATCTCCTTGGAATCGAACATGGAATTCATTGGTAGTGTCCGTTGTGGACCTCGTATATCTACATTGTTTATGCAGCACATCCCGTATTCCATAAATAATTATGTTTGTGAGGTGAAATTGAGAAGTCACCGTGCCAGTTTCCTTGAGATTTTCATGCATAAGATGTACAGCCTACAGAATTCACATAAGAGTACCAAAAATGCCTCTTTCACTTAGCAAGAATTAGAATAGATAGGTCTACTCCTCAATCCTAGTCTTTTTGTTTGTTATATATATATATAAGACAAATATATGACAGTATTCCCTTCGTAGGTTAAAAACTACGTACGTTTAACCACCACATGAATAAGGTTCGGAAATACTATATTGTATTCTAGGGCACAAAAGTTTCCATTAAAACGACTGAACTATCAAGGAAAAACAAAAACAAGAAGATGAACTTAAAAACATCCTATCAGCTGGTTTCAGGAAACCATCATCGTCATTCATCGTTAAGGGTTCTGTTGACCTTCTCGCATTCATCAATCCATTCACTGTAAATGTCGATCGGTTCAGTCAAAGCTGTGACAGTTGTGCTGAAACTCTCTAGGCAAACGCAACAGATAGCCTCACCAATCATGTTCTTCATGTCGATTCGGCACTCAACACTGCTGGAATGGTTGCAGAAGGGGCAACAGAAAACAGTAGCAAGCTTCTCGGCAAATCGCTTCCTGGCTGCTGGTTTTGTTGCCGTAGACTTTCTCTTCCCCATTTAATTTACTTCTCCCAACAAATTTCTCTCCTGAATTCTGAATCGCACTCTTAGAAACGCTTATCCTTCTGGTTCCTTAGTGCTTACTTGTGCTACTTATATATAGCCCTTGGTAGTCGGATCAACAGTGCTCAATTAGGAAACCTTCTTTGAGTAGGAGTCTTGATGCCTAGAGGAAAGGAAATAGTTACTGCGTTAATTGGCTGACCACAGTTGTAAATTTGTTTTACGAAAATTACTCACTCTTTATCCTAATGCAAGGAGGAATTCTCAGGCCAATCTAACGATCAAATATTATTGGTCAACGTTTTCCCAGAATTCCTAAATTTTGATATTTACTTGGTACCCAAGTTAAACCATGCATGGGCGGGTTTCCTAATTGAAATAGGATTAATTTTCCTAATTTCGTACCAAGTTACTTATTCCCCAAGCTTTCCCCTGTCAGACTTACCTATTCATATGAACCGGCAATAATCTTGCGGCCTTCTTTCTTCCATCAGTGGAGTTCGACTTGATCACCTACGTTCTTCACATGCACGCCATCAAATACGAAAACCCACCACCGCATTGCCAGCAAATTACGTCACCAACTTTAGAAATCCGCAAGAGACAGCGGCTCCAGCTCCGAGTCCTAACTTCCAACGGCCTTGACGTCCCATCACTCGCTACGTGCGTCCTCAACGACGTGGTCTCCCCGGACCTGACCACCAACCCCATCGCGGTGCCTCCCCGCGAAGTGGCACTGCCGGAACTGCGCCAGTACTGCATCCGCAACGCACTTTCGAGTTTGGAAATTAATAGGACTGTGCGCGAGCGTGAGGCGCCCCAGATAGAAAGGTATATGGTGGAAGCCGCTGAGGTTTACGGTTTCGGAGGGTTTGGGGTGGTGGCTGAGATTGAAGCAGAAAAGCTGACATTTTCGATCAACACAAGGCGCGCAGTTCGTTAGGGGTGATTAAATTAAGCACTTCATTAATTTCTTAATCTCATTATCAAGCAATTATACCACGATTATTTCTCAACGAGGCGTGTTACTGTTAGCGATAGTTGGTGCGAGTTGCCGGCTTCACTCTGCATCTATTAGGATCAAGATAGTAAATTTTAACAAATTAAGTATATATGTGCCAATGTTTTTCAATGTTTTTTATTATTTAATGTAACTTGATTTCTCTTTTAGGAATACACAATAGGATGAATAATCAAATCCATTGAAAAATATGTTGTCTAGAATTTAAAGGGTATCTACAATGTTCTTGGTTTTAAGGGATTTAGAATTGAGACCTGGAAATTTTATGCACGACAAGTTAATTTGACAAAAAAAAAAAGTTTGAGTCGAGATTTGGTTATTTATCGGTCAACTCTTTAAATAACGGGTTCAATAAGGTCTTCTCCCCGTTTCAACTCGTTAATTAATTAAAATAAATCCCTATCTCTCTTAGTACCTCTCTCAATTTATGGGGCACGTAGATGTGGTTCGTAACAAGATAATTATAGTTGCATTGTTGAATCAAAAGAAATTTATAAATTTATATGAGTTTTTTTTATTATTTATTGAAGTAATATATTGTCCTTAATGAGTAAAATAAGCTGGATTTGAGATTGAAGTTTAAAATACATTAAGTTAACAAGTTTGACACGACACGATCATTAAGGAATTCTACACAACATTAAGGAATTTTGATTATTACTCAAAACTAAATTTGTGGTCTAATAGTGGCATGATCTCAATCTAATTAATCTATTGGCTTGCTCGTGGTTGTGGCTACGATTTTTTGTGGTAAACAAATTGATCACCAATGCAATGGGGTTCAAGTTGGCCTACCGTATGCACATGTCCGAGTTCAAGAACGAAAACTCATCACAACAAACTGCTTGCGCCACGCTTGAAATTCGCACCAGACAAAGACTCCAATTCCAGCTCCTAACTTACAACAACGACCTCGCATCGCGCACCGTGCTCAAAGACGTGGTCTCTCCGGTGCTGACCACCAACCCTATCCGACGTTATGCCTCCCCACGTTATAGCCTCGCCTGCACTCTGCCAGCGTTGCATCCGCAATGCGTTTGCGATATTGGACATCAATGCGCAGGTGCGCGAGCGTGTGTTGCCGGCGATAGAGAAGTACGTGATGAAAGTGGCGGAGGCAGCTGAGGTTGCCGGCGTTAAAGTGTTTGGGGTGGTGGCTGAGATTGAGGTCATAAAAGCTAATATATTTGACCAACAAGAGGCATGCAATTATTTGGGTCTAAATAATGTCCAAAAGTGATTATGTAACAATTTGGAGGATATCAATTTTTATTAAATTATTCTTTTATGTCGTGTAATTTTACTATCACAACGTATATTTCAGTATTACTTACATTTCTCATTTTGGTCTTTCAGGATTTGAAATTTTATCTTTATGCCTTATGTTAAATTTTTTTCGTTAAATTGATGATACAACAAGTGTATTATGTATTTTTTTAATTTACGTTAAAATCACTTTGCGTAAAAAATGATCGTCATCATGCTTCATTTTCTCCACAATCAATATTTCATATTTTAAAACGACAACCAATCATACAATTTAGTTTCTATGAAGCTTAAAAACATCACACATTTGCTACACATAGATCAAATAGATGGAAAATATAAATTTAATCCGATGTAAACCGCTATTGTTCAACTTTTTTTGCGTGTGTGAAGCGTCCCTAATCCCAACGGCTAGTTATTATAATTAAACGGCTAATTTTTCTTTTTATTCTCTTTTGAAACGAATAAACGGCTAATTTTCTTTCACTTTCTCTCAATTCTCAATTCGACTTCGCTCACCTTTCTGCATGTTTCTTTCACTTTCTATGTGATCTTCTCTCACTTTCCCATCGATCCCCAGAAACCCATAACTATATAAACAATTCACGGCAAGGCAAACGAACTTGTTTTCCTTCCCTCTCTCTCTGCAACGCTTTCTCGCTCTATCAAGAAACGCTTCTGAAAACTTTCCTTAGAAAGTGACGCGTCCTTCCGGCAACCAAAATCCCTTTCTTGGAGAGATTCACCAAAAGGGTCTCAAGATTTTCCTGAGAAAGTGACATTTTTCCTGGGTAATTTCATAGATTTTTCTCTCGTGGTAATAGCCCAATGTGGACCCGAGACAAGAACTTTGGCACAAGAGGCTTCTCGACGCCGCCTGCGACATGGAAGACGGCGCCGCCAACTCCTCCGGTGGTGCCGATGTCAGAGAGGAAGAGAGTGTCGCCTTCTGACAGAGAGGATCATTTTCACATTGTGCATAAAGTGCCTGCCGGCGAGTCTCCCTACGTCAGAGCCAAACAGGTGCAGGTATGAAAGATTGAATTTTTATGCGTAATTTGGTATAAATTTTCTTATGGGTTATCTGATTTTTCTTTCTTTCGGTTCTTATTTTTCAAAATTAGCTACTGTTTTTCTTTCTTGTTAATTGGTTTCCCCTAATGATTTTTTTTTCCTGGAAGGTAAGAATTTAGAGACCAATTTTGTTCCCTTAGTTAATGGAATTGACACTGGGATATCTTTCTTGCAATTGGTTTCCACTGCTATATTGTTTGATTGATTTGCGTTCTTCAAATGCAGTTGATAGAAAAGGATCCAGGCAAAGCCATATCCCTCTTCTGGGCTGCTATAAATGCTGGGGATCGAGTTGATAGTGCCTTGAAAGACATGGCAATTGTGATGAAACAATTGGATCGAGCGGAGGAGGCTATTGAAGCTATCAAGTCTTTTCGTCATCTCTGCCCGCATGATTCTCAGGAATCTCTTAACAATGTTTTAGTTGAACTGTACAAGGTAAAGCACCTTCATTTCTACGACAAATTACTTTTATTTTGTTATCTTCTTGTTTGAATACCCGGTTCTAACTCCATCATGGTAGGAGCTGTAAAATATTCTACACATGATATTCAGGACTTTAAGAAGGTTTGGTGCTCAAATGTGAGTCGAAGGTAGGAACTGCTAGAAGTCTAGAACTAGGTCACAATATTTTCTTCCTATGTTGAGGCGACTTAGTGGGATAAGGCTTTGTTGTAATATGTTGAGGCAACTAAGCCGCTAAAAGTAGGCCTTGTTGTAACTTTTCTGGGCAGACTTGCAGTGTAAATTAAAAATCAGGAGTTCCTCTCCTGTGGCCTTTTATTTCCTTCCTTTTTTTTTTATTTCTCTCTCGTTATGCATCAGTAGAATATATTTATGGGAGTTTATCGACAAGGTATTGTTTCTGAATATCTATTACTCGAATGCTTGTATTCCTTAACATCTATTTCTACACGGTACTGCTGAATATTCCTATCATAATTTCAAGGTATATCAACAT